GATTTTGGAACTCCACCTTCTAAAGAGTTTGATCCGATTGACAAAGACTCCAACTGGGATGGCCATCTACCTTCAGGTATCTTTCCACTTAATCCATTACTAGAAAGATCCAATGTTTTCAAAGATGAGAATATTGGAAGGTTGTAGGATCGCTCAAATACAAAATCAACAAATAAAACAACTATTCAAGAATGTCGTGAGGACTTGTGGAGAAAGAGAACAAACTTCTGTGAAATATTTTACTAAACTTCGTTGCTTCTCAATTCTATGTTTCTCAAACAATATACTAGACTATTTATAGGCTATAGTTTTCCTTTATAAAACTGCAACACTAAATAGCCATAAACCACAATTAAAGCCAAACTTAATAACAAAACATAACGACTGACTCTTAACTTTCAAAACTCCTAAAATTAAATGCTAAACTTATGACTCATAAACTATCCATAACTGACAAATTTAAAACCATTAAAAATTAAACTGACTGCTTAATTAAACCCATTAAAAACTAAACTGACATTTAACGTTTATTCTTAACAAAACTCCCCCGTAAACTTAAATGCTTCTGCCATCTTTCATGCCAATCATTCTTTTGCAGTTTTCCAGTAGTAACGTCGGCAGTGGTTTTGTGAAAATATCTCCGACTTGGTCTTGACTTGCCACATGTAATAACTCCACATTTCCTTCCTTTACTTGATCCCGGATGAAGTGAAAACGGACGTCAATATGCTTGCTTCTTTCATGATTCACCGGGTTCTTGGCTAACTCTATAGCCGACTTGTTATCAATACGGATCTCGGTTGGGCCGACTTGTTTCTCCTCCAGCTTGCTTAGTAAGTTCCTGAGCCATACTGCGTAACAAACACACCAAGACGCAGCTACATATTCAGCTTCACAGGTCGACAAAGTCACAATGGGTTGTTTCTTCGAGATCCAAGTGAATGCCGTGTTGCCCATGAAGAATACATATCCCGACGTACTTTTCCGATCGTCTACATCTCCACACCAGTCACTATCAGTGTACCCAATTAACTTATAATTTTCGGACCTCGAGTAGTGAAGTCCCAATGAAGCTGTCCCTTGTATATACCTCAAGATTCTTTTTGTCGCCTTCCAGTGTGAATAACTCGACTCCTCCATGAACCGACTTACAATCCCAACACTCAGTGAGAGATCCGGTCTTGTGCATGTCAGATAACGAAGACATCCTACCAAACTTCGGTAGTTGCTTGCGTCAACTCGATCTCCACCATCATACTTTGAGAGTTTTGAACCGGGTTCCATAGGGGTTGAAACCGGGTTGCAATCTGTCATCTTAAATCTTTTGAGAATCTCCTTTGCATATGCCTCCTGAGAGACAAAAATACCCAAGTTGTCTTGTCTGACTTCCAGACCAAGAAAATATCTCATCAGACCGAGATCTGTCATCTCAAACTCCCTTGTCATTATTCTTTTGAGTTCTTGTATCATTCCATCATTGTTCCCCATAAAGATGAGGTCATCCACATAAAGAGCCACAAACAAAACATCATCTCCAATTTTCGTTATATAAAGTGCATGTTCATAGGGGCACTGCTCAAAACGATTTTCCTTGAAATAAGTGTCAATACGAGTATTCCACGCCCGTGGTGCCTGCTTCAACCCGTAAAGTGCCTTCTTCAACCTCAGCACTTTCTTCTCTTCTCCACCTTTCATGTATCCCGGTGGCTGTTCGAGATAGACTTCTTCTTCAAGTACTCCATTCAAGAATGCCGACTTGACATCCATTTGAAATATCTGCCACATATGTTGAGCTGCTTGTGAAATCAATAGCCGAATTGTCTCCATCATTGCGACGGGAGCAAATACCTCGTCATAATCAATTCCTGCCCTTTGCTTGTTACCCTTTGCAACTAGCCGAGCTTTATGTCGTTCTATCTCCCCTTGAGCATTCATTTTCTTCTTGAATACCCACTTTACCCCAATGGGCTGACTCCCTCCAGGTAGCTCGGCTAACTCCCACGTGTTATTTCGATCAATGGCTTCTATCTCCTCATCCATGGCGTCTTGCCATTTCTTATCTCGGATGGCTTCTTCAAAGCTTATATTTTCAGAATCTGCAAGAAGACAAACAAAATGTACCTCACTTGTTGACTCATATATGTCTTGTATGCTCCGCATCCTGGGTTGTCGTACCTCATCTTCATCATCAGAAGCTTCAGGACTTGCCGGGTTGATAACTTGTGTTGAGATTCCGCCTTCAAAATTCACCTCGGGTGAATTGCTCCAATCCCACTCATCTGCTTCATTGAACCTTACATCTCGGCTCACTACGACCTTCTTGTTGACAGGGTCAAACAGCTTATACCCCTTTGTTTTTTCATCATATCCCATAAAAACATATTTCCTGCTTTTGTCCTCGAGCTTAGTTCTGAGCTGGTACGGTACGTGTGCAAAGGCCACACTACCGAATACTCTGAGATGAGCCACTGACGGCTTTTGACCGCTCCAAGCTTCCTGTGGTGTTTTGTCCTCTAAACTCAAATGTGGACATCGATTCTGCACATACACAGCACACTGCACAGCTTCCGCCCAAAACTCCTTCGGCATCTTCTTATTCTTCAGCATTGACCGAACCATGTCAAGAACAGTTCGGTTCTTCCTTTCAGCAACGCCGTTTTGTTGTGGTGAGTATGGTGCTGTTAGAAACCTTCTTATCCCATGTTCCTCACAGAATGTCAGAAATGCTGTCGAGGTATATTCCCCACCTCGGTCAGAATGCACCGACTTGATGAATTTTCCTGTTGCCTTCTCAATCATTACTTTAAACTTTTTGAATACTTCAAACACCTCGGATTTCTCCTTCAGGAAATAAACCCAAGTTTTTCGTGAGAAATCATCAATGAAAGAAATGAAATATTTCTTACCACTAAAGGATTCTGGGGTGATTGGACCACACAGATCAGTATGAATCAACTCCAGAGGCTGCTTGGCCCGAAATCTCGCCATCTTCTGAAACGTGGTCCTAGCATGCTTGCTAAGTACACAACTCTCACAAAACTTTCCTTCATAGTTGATGTCAGGTAGTCCGTCAACCATCTTCTTTGCCAGCTCGATTAGACCACCATAATGTAGGTGACCAAAGCGGAGGTGCCAAAGTGACGCCTTGTCTTCCACCTCGGCTTGTAAACAGTCGACCTGTACACATCTCAAGTTCAGTTTGTACATTCGATTTCTGCCCATTTCAACTCGGACTATCAGCCGACCTCTCTCATCTTTCAAATACAATACTCGGTCCTTCATCATAACCGAGTAACCTTTCTCCATCAATTGACCCATGCTTAAAATATTGCTTTTTAGGTCGGGTACATAGTACACATCTCGGATTGAGCCAATCAACCCATCCTTTTGCAGGAAGCATACCGTACCACGGCCTTTTACCTCAACCTTCGAGGCATCCCCGAACGAAACATGTCCGGTCTCCACCTTTCTCATCTCCTTGAAGAAATGCTTATGTCCGCACATGTGGTTACTCGCACCCGTGTCAAGATACCACTCCATGTCATCATCTGAGTTTCCTTCATTGTGTGTCATTAACAAGACACCATCCTTCATCTCCCCTTCTGTGGCTAGGTTGGATGTCTCCTCCACCCTTTTCTCTTCTCTGCATTCTCTTGCAAAATGTCCGACTTTTCCACAGTTGTAACACTTGTCCGAGTTACAATCTTTCGCAAAGTGACCAAACTTGCCACACTTGTAACACTCGACGTTGGAATAATATGATCGTCCTCCTCGTCGACCTCTTCCTCTTCCACGCCAGTTCTGTTGACTTGATTGTCCTACCTCATCATTACAACCTTCTTGACTTCGGCCTCGGCCTCTACCATTACGGCCAGTGCCTCGTCCACCGCGACCACGTCCTCTACCTCAGAAGTTTTGAGAATAGAGAGCCTTCTCATCTTTAAGTGTTGCTTTGGTCTGAAGTGCTTGTCCAAGAGTCTTCTCATTCTTCTTCTTCCGTTGCTCATGCGCTTCAAGAGAACCGGCTAGCTCATCAATGGTGAGCGTAGCTAGATCTTTGGATTCTTCTATAGCACATACCACGTTCTCAAAGCTGTCGGTCAAAGATCTCAAGATCTTCTCCACCACTCTGGTGTCCGCTACATCTTCTCCATTTCGTTTCAATTGATTCACAATGGTTTGAACACGGGTAATGAACTCGGATACTCCTTCTGTGTCCTTCATCTTCATTCCCTCCAACTCGGCACGAAGGGTTTGAAGCCGAACTTGCTTAACTCGGTTGGCTCCTCTATAGACATTTGCCAGAATGTCCCACGCTTCCTTTGAGGTCTCCGCATTCGCTATCTTTTCAAAGTCGGACTCGTCTACAGCTCGAAAGAGCATGAACAACGCTGCCTTGTCTTTTGCACGTGTCTCTTTCAACGTTCTAGTTTGGGCCGCCGTGTATCCTGCGGTGGTCGCTGGTTCTGCAAAGCCTTCCTGGACGACCTCCCAAGCTTCCTGGGAACCGAGAAGAGCCTTCATCTGGATACTCCAATTCTCGTAATTCCCTTTTGTCAATTTAGGCAACGCCATATTACTTACACTCTCCATAGCTCTGATACCAATTTGTAGGATCGCTCAAATACAAAATCAACAAATAAAACAACTATTCAAGAATGTCGTGAGGACTTGTGGAGAAAGAGAACAAACTTCTGTGAAATATTTTACTAAACTTCGTTGCTTCTCAATTCTATGTTTCTCAAACAATATACTAGACTATTTATAGCCTATAGTTTTCCTTTATAAAACTGCAACACTAAATAGCCATAAACCACAATTAAAGCCAAACTTAATAACAAAACATAACGACTGACTCTTAACTTTCAAAACTCCTAAAATTAAATGCTAAACTTATGACTCATAAACTATCCATAACTGACCAATTTAAAACCATTAAAAATTAAACTGACTACTTAATTAAACCCATTAAAAACTAAACTGGCATTTAACGTTTATTCTTAACAAAGGTTAGCTAGTGTGCCGTTGATTTTATTTTCTTCCAAATACAAATTTTGCAACGAGTACCTAGCACACCCAGACAATTGATTAAATATCACTCCAAGCTCTACGCTCAAACTGTTATTGGAAAGGTCCAATGAGCGCAAAGTACAAGCGTCCCCAAATGATGGCAATCTGCTACCTTCAGGTATCTTTCCACTTAATCTATTACTAGAAAGATCCAATGTTTTCAAAGATGTGAATATCGAAAGGTCAGGTAACGAACCAGTGATTTGATTCTCTCTCAGATTCAACTCTTGTAATGAGTATCTAACACAGCCACGAGACATGTTAAGAAGAATTGATGGAAGTTCTTCAGTCAAATTATTCTGAGACAAGTATAAAGAACGTAAGGTGCATATATTCATGAAGGATTTAATAACACTGTCCTTGAGTCTATTAAAGGAGAGGTATAGCCGCTCAAGAGAATTCATCACTATGCCAAAATGACTTGATGGGAGAGCCTCCAAGAGATTGTTAGCAGTAAGGTCAAGCTCAACAAGGTTGGAACTGATATTTGACACCCACTGGAATATCATGGATGACGTGAAGGTGTTCCTAGAGAGGTCAATGACAGAAAGGGAAGTAGAAGAATTGAATTTGGAACCGTTCAATGAAAGGATAAAATGATCGGAAAGGCTACAATCGGATAAACTTAGTTCTCTTAGTTTTGGTAGCTTAACAATCATTTGCATCCAGCTTTTAGAACGGTTAAGATTAGATATCCCAACCAAGTGAAGATGGGTCAAAGAAGAGAGATTAGATAGCCACTGACCTCCAGCACGATTCCCATCGTCAATTTTAAGAGCACCACCATCATATCCTCCAAGATAAAGCGTTTGCAAGTTTGAAAGTTTCCCAATCTCAGATGGTATATTTCCTTCCAAGGAATTTTCACTGAGATCAAGATACTGCAACTTGGAGAGATTTCCAAGTTGAGAAGGGATTGATGAGCCCTCCAATGAATTCCCGCCAAGATTTAAGTGTTTCAATTGCGAAAGAGATCCAAATTGGCTTGGAATTTTCCCGCCAAAACTAGAATATGACAAATCAAGGTATCTCAAGTTGGTCAGAGAACCAAAGAAATCTGGGATATGGCAGTCTGGAAAATCATTCCGACTGAGATTCAAATACTTTAATTGCTGCAACTCCATCAACGACTTGTGGATCTTACCGCTGAGAGAGAGTTGTGAGTCTAAAACATAGGAATCTCCACTGAAGATATAATGAGACTCTCCATGAAGATCGAGCATTAAGACATGGCCAGTAAGGTTGCTACAACGAATTCCCTTCCATTGGCAACAATCAGCAGTTGTCCAAGATGACAGCATGCCATAGTCATCCACAAGGCCACCCTTCAAGTCGAGGAGTGCTTTCCTCTCCCTTTCTATGCACCTAACCACTTTTGATGAAACAAGCTCATCCTGAAACAGCAAAACACACCATAAATTAATATGGATTCATCATTCATGACAAGTGATAAAATCCATAAAATCTCTTTGTATACACCAAACCTCTTTTCCATAAACAATGTCCACCTGCAACAAAAAACACACCATGAATATGGCTTCAATAAATATCAAACAAACAAAATGGATTCATCATTCATTCACATTGTATGCGCCTAACCTCTTTTGCACAAGCAAGTTCCACCTGCAACACCAAACACACCATAAATATGGCTTCAATGAGTTTCAAACAAACTGGATTCATCATTTAGATTGCGGTCATAAATATTAGATTGATTGTTATAAGGGGAAAAGTGTCTATACTTTTAAATTACACAACTTACATCCTTTCACTCTTACAAAGAGGTGGGACCCACAACTTTATTTTTTTTTATCAATTCTCTCTCCTCCTTTATCTATCTATTTCTCTCTCTTAAAATGACACAACTTTACATCCTTCAAAATTATACACACTTTTCCCATATATAAGATATCCTAAAGGGACAAAATCGTATTAAAAAGAGAGAGAAGAAGACGACGACTTGGAAAAGTTTATAGTCAACATTTGAGAGGAAATAATTATTCACCTAGTACTCCTATCCAAGCATTTATCATACAACTTTCTTCCGTCAAAGTCTTTTTTTTTTTTTTTTTTGACAAAAACGTCATGCGAATCATGCAGCTATTTTTTTTTTATTTAGTTGCAAAGATTGAATATTATTGATAAAGAAAATAAACATTTATGAGGAAGAGCTCTTTCTTTTTTCTTGTTTTCTTTTTCTTTTTAAATACAAGAAAGAGCTCCTGAATTCGTTTCATAAAATGTTTTGGAAAAGCTTATTTTAACATTGGTAAAAATATAAATGAATGCTTATGATGATAAACCACCCAGCTATACAAGCTAAAAAAATGAGAAATGTTAAAGTTTGATTTACGGAAGCAGGATTTCACTAGTGGGTCATTTTATTCACTTCTTAATATTTTTAATCACTTCTTAATATATTTTCAACTCAAAGGCAATGGATTTTTACAAATATGAAATATTTTTTTATTCTAAATATATTAAATATTTTATGCATTAAAATACTCTTTGAAAAATTTTTACAATGTATTTATATGATTAAAAGTTTTAAGATTATTTCTACAGTTGTTTTAAATTACAATTTTTAGCTTTGGTTAAGAAGTATTCAAACAGTTTTTTATGTTTTTGTTTTTTAAAAAACTTATTTAATTATTATGGTTTTTTTAAATATGTTTTTAATTTAAATTTTGTATTATCTTAATTTTAATTTTATGGGTTATATTATAATTATATCATGTCTAGTAATTTTTTAAAATTTATCATTTTTTACATTCATATCCTATTACATGTGATCTCCATAATATCTTATCAGTAATACATCAAGGATGTCTACTGTGATACTTAGGGTAACCAAAACAGTTTCGGCTCAACTCATTAGTAAACAATGGATCACTGACATTGTAGAAGTCTGATATATCAAACCAAGAAAATCAGTGCATTTTGAATTAAAGGAATAATTAGTGCATTCTGCCACACCTTTAAATTTGAAAGGGCCTTGAAATTATCACGGTATTGGCCAATAAAACAAGCACAACTCGTTGAGATGAGGTGTTTATTGAAACTGTAATATCAAATCATTCATACATTTTCATCTAGTTGTTTATTTTTTGGGGTTAAATTGTTGTGTGATAAGGTAACAAAGTTTATGAGATCAAGTAGTCTATCGATTATGTTTATCTCATTTTAGGGCATGTTTGGTACACTGTATAAGACCTGATAGTATAAGCTTATACTATACATTATGACATTTTCAGTTGTTTGGTGTGACATAGTATAGTATAAGCTTATACATCAGAGTTTTTTAATACATCAAAATGATGTATAATTTAATTATGGCTAGAGGTGTGGGATTAGCCCTGATAAAAAAACAATGTATTAAGTAAATCCCACTCTTCCCTTTCTACCCCATTTCTGCTTCATCCCCTTTCTTCTCTATCCTTTCTCGGCAAGACGACGTTGGCCACCTGAGGGAACAGAAGCAACTGGGTCAGGCCTGGGAGGAGACCTTTTTTACGTTGGTAGGGACGTAGTAGTCCAACTCAGTGACGAACTAGACGACCTTGCGATTGACATATTTAAGAAGCTCGGCGGGGACGAGGCGAACAAGAGAGAGAATCTGGAAATAGAGAGAAGCAACGCCAAGTTAAGCCCACACTTGCAGTACTTATCTATTACAGGGTTGTCTTGGAGCTTTAGATGGAACTTATATTACTGTTAGAGGCTGTTTGGTAGAGGTATGTTTATGGGATTGCCAGGAAAAGTAATGTGGGTATCATCTTTACCCATGTTTGGTAGGAGCTTTCACATCATTTACCCTGGTATCCAGTTTACCCAGTAAATGATATTATGAAGAAAATGTGATCTGGTTTCCCTTATGAAATTACCACTGAAGGTGTGGTATTTGTGAATTACCGGAAACAAGGAATTGGGATCTAAATTTTTCGGACAAATGTGCCCTTCCATTTTGACAGCTTGTATTCCCAAGTGGTCTCTCTTTCTTCGTTACAAAATATCACGGATGCTGTAATGTGAGCAGCTGTTGTCGAATGAAAGCTTGTCTATCTTCAATATCATAGTTATCATCTCTGATTGGTTGCATATGTTCAAAACATTAAATTACTTTTCTTTGTTGATTTCACAATCAGTGTCCTGTTTGAATGGTTTGCAAATAACGGAAGAGGAGCAGCTCATGAATGAATATGCTGATGCTGGCTTGAGGACCTTGGTACTTGCATATACAGAAGATCATGAGGAAAAGCACAATCTATTTAAAATACCCAAAAGATGGAGACTATGATGTAGATGAAAATTGGTCTAAAATTGCAGAACGATTTAGTTCTTCTTGGTGCTACAGCAGCTGAAGATAAACTTCAAAATGGAGTATAATAAAAGCAATGTTTTTTTCTTTTTTTTTACAAGGCTTGTCATTGTGAAATGTATTCGTGGATCTCAAATCACTTGGTCACTGAAATATTTTGTTTCTAATCGTGTCTACATGGCCGTAGGTTAAAGAGGTTATTTTCGTAAAATTCTTCCATATTCCCACTAATATTTCATCATCAACCAAACAGCATTTCAGTAAAATTAACTAAAATTCCCGGTAATATTTTTGCTTACCAAACAGTTTTTTTGTAACATTCCCATGAAAACCATATTCTTATCATATTCCCAGTAATCATGATTCCAGAGACCAAAAAAATTTCTCCTCTACCAAACACCCCCTTAATGTTCCTGAGGATGACAAGCCAAGATATAGAAGTCGAAAAGGTGAAATTGCCACAAATGTGTTAGGAGTGTGCTCACGAGACATGAAATTTGTGTATGTCTTGCCGGGTTGGGAGGGTTCAGCTTCAGATGCTAGGGTATTGCGCGATGCAATTAATAGGATAAACGAAGAGCTACATGATAGCATAGACACCATTCACACCATTGATACAAGTGAAGCATGGAGTGCTTGGAGAGATGCATTGGCTAATGAAATGTACAATGATTGGGTTGCTCATTAAGTCTATATGTGGTCTTTTTTTATCTTTCGCATTTAAATTTAAATTGTACCTTAAAGTTATGCATTTTTATGTTTTAATTTGTTGAAAGTTATTATATACATATATGTTTCAAGTATGTAATTTAATTAACTGGCCTATGGTACCATGAGGCTTGTCAACTTCTCCCTACTAATCCATATTCAGCAACAAAAGCAACTACACAATTTTATCAACATTATTGTTTTGGATGAACTTATGTCTTTTTCTAAAAGAAACTGCAGGGGTATTTGGAACTTTACAAATCATGGTATTGTGACGTAATGTTAAGCACATTATGGACCGTAAAACCATGTACAGTAAATTTGTTTTAATTTAATATATATATATATATTAATGATTTTTAAAAAAAATATTGTAGATTTTTATTTTTACAATTTTTTTTGGACATACTCATCAATAGGTTTTTATAATATTTATATCATATGACATATTTGTAAAAATTATATAAATTCTTCATTAAAGGGTATTTTTGTCAAAAATATTTATTTTTATCCTATACAGTATTATGCAGTGTATTACCAAACACTGGATAGTATTATTTTATACAATACATTATCTTATTCAATGTCGTGTCAAACGCTGGATAGTATTAAAATTTAATCAGGTCTTATACAATCAGACCTTATACTATCAGGTCTTATTCTATACTATGCACCAAACATGCCCTTACATGAGATAAACAATTTTCCTACACACAAAAAGGAGTTGGGTCTCACCATTCTTTTTTCTATCTCCTCTTATCTGTGGGTCTCATTTGTAATTTTATTTTTACAACATGAGGTAACTACTTTCCTACAACATAAGAAAAGTATTTTCCATAGTCTATATTGGTTAAACAAATATTCTGTCTTGGCAAAGCCAGTACTGTGAGTCAGAATTAGGTCAAACTATGGCACTTGGATGAGTGAAGGTAACTAGAAAGGATTATTACAGGAGGATTATATTTATAAACTAAATTGTTTATAAACTCTTACAATTAAATTGTAATTGTTGATTTTTGTCAATCTAATGATTTTAATTATTAAGTCTCAATAAATTAAAATCGTTAAATTGACAATAATTAATAGTTAAGATTTAGTTGTAAGAGTTTATAAATAATTTAGTTTGTAAATATACCTCTTCATATTAACAATTGTAATTTTTAGTCTAATACAGTGCCGAATCTACGTTGAAACCAGCTAGTGCTTTGTTACTGGCTTGGTTTTCAGAAATGATCCATTGCCCATTGTAATTGGTAGGGGGTAAACATGACATTTTTTGGGCACTGCTTGGTTTTAAAAAATGATTGTGAGAAAGGTTTCTGCCTCTTGTTCTTCTTCTGCTAAAGATTCAAACTTTACAGATAGTTGTAATGATAGGTATAAGTTTTGAAAAATTTTGAATACGTTAACTGAGAGACAGAGTGATGGGGTTTGTTGAGGTGGACAGCAGGAGAAGATGAAGAAGGAGAATATGGACAATTTCACGTGACACTTGGCATTCACGTGAGTATATTGTTGTGTGTTGGTTCCTAGTTTTCCTTTTTGTTTATGGGCTAGGCCCCCACTTTTCATCAAAAAAAAAAAAAACAATTAAGAAATTTTAGATTTTTCTATGAACTTGTCTATAACTTGTCGGTCATAAGAATTTTTTAATATT